TATAGAATATTAAACACAAAAGATGATTCTTATTCTTCAAAGTGTTTATCTTTTACTAACTTGATTAAGAGAAAAAATGGAAAACAAGCAAATAAAAAAAACAACCATCTATGCTGAACAGAAAGGAAATGAATAGCACATTATCAGACTGCAAAGTTTCTAGGTGTGCTACCTTAGAACTGACTTCATTTGAGAGTCCCTCCCCATCCCCCAACCACCTTGGCTTGTCTTCCCATCCTCCAACCCCTTCAGTTCCTGGCAGTGCTATTGAATAGGTTAAACTCCTAGGTTTGGAACTACTCTTTACCATGGAAGAAATGATGAAATGTACTTTAAAAATCTGTGACTGGGAATCTTTCCTAAGCAAAGGAGGCACTTGGGTTTGTGGTTAACATTCTAACTTTGGAAACCTTAAGAAATATAAAAATTTGGGGACAAAGGTATCATTCATCTGCTGGGACCCCTTCAGATAAATTTATAAGTATATTAGATCCATTGAAATAAGTGACATTTTAACCTAGAAGGCTACCTTCAGATTCCCTTATGTGGCAGTTAGGTGGTGCAGTGAATAGAACACTGGACCTGGAGTCAGGAAGACTTGAGTTCAAATTCTGATGCTTCCCCATCTGTAAAATGGGGATAATAACAGCACCTAACTCCCAGTGCTGTTATAAGGATGAAATGAGATATTTGCAAAGTGATTTGTAAACTTTAAGGTGCTTTATAAATGCTAGCTATTGTTGTTGTTGTTATGGGGTATAGTAAATAAAGAAAGTAATACAAATCAACAGAGACAATCAATTGAACTTGATCTATTTTTTCCCCTGTACAATTTCATCCTACAGATGCAGCTCCTATTCTTTAGTGAGGAGGGAATTGTGTGTTATATGGTAATGATGGTTTGGAAGACGAGCCCCATTAACTACCAAGATACAGTTTGTATAGTGTGGATGTTTTTTTGGGGGGAGGGGCAGGGAAGGAGAGGGTTATTTGTTAGCTGTAGGTAAAAATAGGCCCTTCATCCCATGGGGCTCCATCAACTTCCATAGTGATAGTGGCAGTGTCAGGTGGCATTCTAAGAATCGTATTTTTTTAGACCATCTACAAACATTTACTTAACTGTTGGCTCTTTTAATGTGGGATTCTTGTCCAGTGATCCAATGGGAGTACCTCACCAGAGGAATTAGATCATGCCTACATAATCATTGGAAGGTCTTTGTTGTGTTGGGCGGTCCCTCTGTGGAGGATTTCCTGAAAGCTAGAGAAAAGGTTCACCCAGGATAGTAGAACATGGCAGCATTTTAATCTGCACCAGGTGATGAATAACCACACATAGCATAGCCAGGAGATGTTGTTGAATGATTTGCTAACCCTAAGAGTTGGTTTGTTAAGATTGGTTGTTAAGATTCTCCTGGCACTTCAGATCCTTAGAGAGAGCAACTCAGGAAACTCTAACCAATTGCCCAATCTTTTATTTTATTAATATATAAAATGTCTGGTCTGCTTCTTGTTCTCTGAAAGAGCCTTGAACTCCTATTTGACTGTCTCTCAGGCTCCCTATCTTCCCTTATCTGTTGTCAGACTCTAATTGTCCCTTAGTGAAGCTGGAGTCAGGAAGATCTGAGTTCAAAACTGGTCTTAGTCACTTACTATCTATTTGACCTTGAGCAAGTCACTTAACCCTGTTTGCCTCAGTTTCCTCCTCTGTAAAATGAGCTGGAGAAGAAAACGACAAACCACTCCAGTCTCTGCCAGCAAAACCCCAAAATGGCATCATGAAGAGTGGGACATAACTGAAAAACAACTGAACAACAACAATGGTCCAGTAAAAATAACTTCAAGAATGCTAAAGTTCAGAGTAAATTGAGGTTGTTGAGGAAAGCTAAGACCTAAAAAAGTTTTTTTAAAGCTAAACTGAGCAAAAGAAGAGGATCAAAGAATAGATGTGGGACCGGATAAATTTGAGAGATGACCTATAGAAGGCAACTCATTTTACTTGTTTCCTCTGCCAAGGAAAAATATCTTTGGACTGAAAAGGACAGAATAAAAATGACTGGTAAGAAGTTTAAACTTGAGGAAAATAAGGAAATAGTAAGAGAACCTCTAGCTACCCTCAATAAGTTCAAGGTCCTAGGCCTAGATGAACTACATCCCAGGGTACTGAATGAACTAGCAGATATGATTGCTAAGTCAATACTACTGTTTTTCTAATGCCTATAGAGAACCTGAAGGGTGTTATAGGACTAAAGGGTAAATATGTCCTGGTTTCCTAGTTTTCAAAAAAAGAGCTTGGACGGAGTTCATAAACTATAGGCCAGTAAGGCTGAATTCAATTCTTGGAAAAATTTGAGAATGTATTATCAAAGGGATTGTTACTAAACAACGAGAAAAGAGAACAATGATCACAAACAGACATGCTGGATTAACCTCACTTAATTTTTTTTTTTAACTTTATGCTTTTTTTTTTTTTTTTTTTTTTTTTTTTTTTTTTT